GCATTACTGTGGAGCAGGCATTACTGTGGAGCAGCCGTGGTGAGGGCTACGGAATCACAGGGCTCTGGCCGGAGAGGATGAGTCAGTAACTATGGCTACCAGAGCTGCTTTGAAATCTATGCATATACCAAACCTCTCTCCAATAAGCAATTGCATATGCAAATGACAGCAGAGAGGTCGCGGCTGAAGTTGAAAAATATCCAAGGATTGTTTTCCACCACTGAACATAGTAAAATGATAAGGCTGAGCTTTTTGTCTTTTTTTTTTCAATTTCCGTGTGTCACTTGTGCCAGACAGCACTTAAAGATTAGTTTCATAAAGTGTCATTTCTTTGGAGCAGATTAGAAAGATATATATTGGTTTAGCAGATTTTCCTTCTTACCACTATTTCCATTGGTTAAAAAATGTTTATCTTCTCTCACCTCGATGTAATATTTGGTTAATTTTGCCTTTTTGGCTGTTTGGGAGATAAGAGTTAAATGAGTGCTATGTGGAGAAAAGAAGAGGGTCAGGACACAGGGGGTGCAATCGGGGCATGAAGCAATCAAATGGAGATTTAAATTTCACAGGGTTTTTTGCAAGCAGAGTGGGATCGTGGCTATTGGATCATTCTAATATAATTGAGACAGATGCATTCTTCCTTTATCAGCTCATTCCTGGAATTTATTAAAAGTCATTTTAGAATCCAGCATTTAGGAGACATTGCTTTCATTTTGCCCAAATACTTTAAGGAAAGACTTCATGTGAAATGCTGTTTGCTCCCTACTTCCTAGTCCATGTTCAGCATTTAGTTTTTAAAAGATCAAAGGAATATAGTCAGTTAGTTTGTTGGTTTTTTTTTTTTTAAAGCTTCCACAACTGACCTAAAATGTTCAAAACATAACCAACCCCTGGTTTGCATATATTTAAAGACCTTAGAACATTCACAATTTTAGGGTTATTCTTCTCCTGCCTTAACAGCCTTCCTCATAAGATTTTTTAAGTGGAAATACTTAAGAACAGAAATTGCTTAGCCACCCTGATAGTTAGGTAAACTCTACCAGGAAGTTTTCCTGCTATGAGGCTTCTTTGCCCAAAGCTCCAATTACTTCGCCCTATCACTGCACCTCAGGTGGACTGGGTTGGACATAATGCACTTCAGAACTGTTTGGAAAGCCCTGTTAATTTTTCATTAAGTGGATAATGGTGCTCCATGCTTTAATGTCCATTCTGCAAGTCTGCTGGGAGCAGAGGATTGGATGGCAGCAGGCTGAAATGATCTGATTCCCCCCTAGTCCATGAGCTGCAGTAAGCAAACATCCCCCAGCCCCTCTCCAATCATATTAGAATTGAACTTTTGCTCTGCTGGCCCATTAATGACTCACTAGTGTGTTTCTAATGTTTCAGGAATGACCATTCTAATTATTCCTTATTGACTGCTACAGAAACCATAGCACTTAATGGCAACATGTTAATGGTCTATGGGTATTGGTCAATAATTCATACATGGAGAAACAGTAGAGAGCCTGCATCCTCTGGGACGTTAGCCAAGTCCTCTGCAGTCTTAAAGTGCTAGAATTCTTCTACCTCTAGGTCTTACCTCCTAGCAGTTGTGACTGAATCAACACCTTTGTTGAATGTTTGTTCTTGAGGGAATTAAAGGCTTTCCCTTCCAAGTCAGAGAAATAGAATGTGGACCAAAGCAGCCAGGTACTGAACTGGCTGTCCTGGGATTCGGGGCAAACCACTAGACCCAGAGGATGAGTGTCCATTGCTCTTTGCTATTCTGTCTGTTCAGGTCGCTCGGCGTTGGGGCATCCAGAAGAACCGGCCGGCCATGAACTATGACAAGCTGAGCCGTTCTCTGCGCTATTACTACGAGAAGGGCATCATGCAGAAGGTGAGCAGTCCGGGAGCCGCTCAGACCCTCCAACTGCCTTCAAAGGGAGTGTCTATAGTAAGACTGTTTGGGGGGCTTAGTTGTTTGTTCTGTTTGTTTTCATTTTGTTCTGAGGGAGAGTCTCACTCCCTCACCCTGGGTAGAGTACTATGGCATCATCACAGCTCACAGCCTCAAATCCCTGGGTTCAAGCAATCCTCCTGCCTTAGCCCCCTGAGTAGCTGGGACTACAGCCACCTGCCACAAAACCTGGCTAATTTTTTCTATTTTTAGTAGAGACGGGGTCTCACTGTTGCTCAGGCTAGTCTCAAACTGCTGAGCTCAAGCAACCCACCCGCCTCAGCCTCCCAGAGCACTGGCCTCATTAAGGCTATTTATAACAGCCGGGAGAAAGGGATAGGAAAGAATCCTGAAAAGCCAAACTGGAGACAAACCAAACGTGTAAACCAGAATGTAAAACAGGAAAATTAGGTTCCTCTGCTTCACTAAAACTGCCTCTAATTACTAAAATGTCCAGAAACTTAGGCCAACCATTATGTCCATAAAGGAGTACATGAAAGAATCAACTTGTAGGTCTCTGCTCCCACAAGAGATTGGTTGAAGTCTCTAGTTATTACAACACCGAGACCTCTAATCTACTAGTTTGTTGTACACAAAAATTTTATAGGAATAAGAAAATCGTATTTCTCTTCAGAACATACAGAAACTGGAACTCAAGGTTTTTAAAATGGCAGCAGAATCCCCTCTTAGCAGGTGGCTCCTTGCAGAAGAGGAAAAGCATTTTTTGAGAAAGCCTGTACAGAATCCTTACTTAGGGATATAGGTAGTGAGGGATCACAATCTTAACGTCCCATGGATAAGTAGAAAGTGGGAATGGCGAATCTTTTGCTGGTTTTTCTTTGCCACCAGATTTTATGCTATGCTGTTCCCCAGATCCTAGCATTTACACATTTAGGCAGTCGACACAGTTAGTAGTCAACAAGATGAACATGGTAGAAGTATATGGGCATCGCTACTGAGAATTTCTCTGCAAAAAAGCTAGATCCATCTTGCTTATAGGCAGGTGGTAACATGTTCCCCGTAGTATCTCAAAAAAATAATTAAATAGTTGGGCAGCGCCTGTGGCTCAGTGGGTAGGGTGTTGGCCCCATATACCGAGGGTGGCAGGTTCAAACCCGACCTGGGCCAAACTGCAACAAAAAAATAGCTGGGCATTGTGGTGGGTGCCTGTAGTCCTAGCTACTTGGGAGGCTAATGCAAGAGAATTGCCTAAGCCCAGGAGTTGCAGGTTGCTGTGAGCTGTGTGATGCCATGACACTCTACCAAGGGCGAAAGAGTCTGTCTCTGTCTCTACAAAAAAATATATATATATATTCAATAGCTTTTTATGATCTGGGTAAAATTCAGACTTTTCAGTACTTCCTACAGTCTTTAAGGCTGTTTCCAGTCTGGTTGTCATCTAACTCCAGCGGTTCTCAACCTGTGGGTCATAACCCCTTTTTAACAATGAAAATACATTGCATTAGGGAGGTTGAGAACTACTGACCTAACTTATGTTTTCTCAGTCAGACTTGACTGCTCACTAACATAGCCACCTTTTCTCTTAATTAATACAGTATTTGTTTACCAAAGAATAACATATCACCTGCATGTAAGTTATCAGGCTTACTACACAATGGAAAAACACCTATTAAACCACTAATCCCACTTAAGAACTAGAAAATTCCTAATATCTTCATTGCCTGGCCAGCCTCTACTTCTTTTCTGCCTTAATAATCACCTTTTCCCTTCAGATAGGTTAGGTGGTCTCCTTTTCTGCTTATAATCCTAGCACCTGTACTTACCTTTACCACTGCTCTTCTATATTGTAAATTACTCCTGTCTTGTTGGTATCCCCCACTAAGCTCTTTTGGGGGAGGAGTTGAGGTTTGACTTTGGTGATTGGTATAGTTAAAGAGTCTAGGATGGGTAGTTGCCCTACTCTACCATACAATGCAATGGTTTTTATTTTTATTTTTTGAGATAGAGTCTCACTTTGTCACCCTCAGTAGAGTGCCATGGCATCACAGCTCACAAAAACCTTAAACTCTTAGGCTCAAATGATTCTCTTGCCTCAGCCTCCCAACTAGCTGAGTACTACAGGCGCCCGCCACAGCACCTGGCTATTTTTAGAGACAGGAGTCTCACTCTTGCTCAGGCTGCTCTAAAACTCCTGAGCTCAGGCAATCCGCCTGCCTCGGCCTCCCCAAGTGCTGGGATTACAGGCATGAGCCACCACACCGGCCTTGCAATGGTTTTTTAGTATATTCACTTGTGCAGCCATCACCATAATCAATTTTTAGAACATTTTATCACCCCCAAAAGAAACCCCATATCCATTAGAAGTACTCCCTGTTTTCTCTAATCCTCTTTATTACCCCCATTTTAGTGTTAATGTCATTAGGTTGAATCTGGGTTCAGGAGAGAGAGCCATTATTCCTTTGCCATTTCCAGCTCCAGGTCCAACATGAGAGACTGTAACCAAGACAAGTTCAAGATTGTAACTTGAACTAATGGAAACGAATTGTCCCTATGACTAGCTCCTAGGTGTTCTAAGGGAGTAGAAAAGAACTTAATTTCTGAGAATTTAATAGGCAGAGTTATAGGAAGGTGCAGGAAGGAAAGCTTGGGTGAGTCCCAATCCTGACATTTCCTTTTGTTAACTATATACATTGAATAAAGTCATTCACCTCCCAAAGCCTCTATTTCTGATTAAAAAATATAAATAATCCTTGTTCTCACCCCACGAGGTAATATATTTGAAAATGTTCCAGAAATAATAATTTGCTATCCAATGTAAGGGATTATTATTTTATTATATGACCTATAGTAAATGAGAACAAAACAAAAGGTGAATGATAGCCTGTCAGTCTGCGGAGAGACTTAGAAAAGTCCCATACTCTTCATATTTGAAGGGAAAATTGAAGTTCACAGAGGTTAAGATGCATTAGTGATTAAGCCAGGACTAGAAACTCTACTGCTTCTGGCTTCTGATCTGGTATTATTTCCACTCTGCCCTTCTGCCTATTCTCCAACATGAACTTTTGGGGTTGGGCTGTACAGTAATACAGTGGCTTGGAAAACTAAATAGGGATAGCTGATTTTATATATAGGTCTGCCACCCTTAAAACTTGCTATCGTGAAGACAATGATTGTCCAGTTCTATATATACAGTCCTGATGTCCTAATTTTGAGTTCCAGGGGATGTTGATAGAGACCCCCATGTCCTGGTGCCTGAACACAGACGTATCACCATAAAATAAGCCTTCAGACCTATTGGGATAATTGTACCCAATAATTGTACCCAATTGTGACCAGGCACTGGAGCAACAGGTTTCTTATACCCAACACTGGGAAGCAAAGTTGTACTTCAGTTTAAAAGCAATTTTGGAAATCACAGCAGAATGACAGAAGGGCAGGATTAAACTCCACAATTCCAGTTTTTTAGTCTGCAATGTTCATCAGTGATATTAGCTCCTTTCCCTTGCCCCTCTGCATTTCCTGACAGAAGCCAATGCTCGGGTTTGATTTGCAGTGTTCTGTGCCCTCTTGTGGTGTTCTAAACAACCAGCAGAGAAGGTGATCCCAGTGACCCAGATGGCTCACCAGCTAACACCATGAGGCCCTTGAATAAGCAGGGAGAGCTTTTGGGCTCTAATACAGCAGTTCTCAACCTGTGGGTTGCAACCCCTTTTTAACAATGAAAGAACATTTGTGGCATTAGGAAGATTGAGAATACTGCTCTACTATTATAATGCACAAAGTCTGTATAAAGGTAGTCTCAGCTCCTTCAGGGTAGCTGAACCATGCAGTGAGCAATTTAAAACTGCAGGTAATCCAAAAAGCCATTCTCTTTGGCTTTGGAACATGCTTAAAATATCCACACAAATTCCTAACCCCTCAAAATAATAAAGCCATACTGTGAAGACTATAAACTTTGGAGGTAACTGAGAATGGGGTCTGGCTTCTGAATTGTACCTTTCAGTCCTTCCACCTTCTTGGAACACCAAGCGCCAGGCTCAGCATAATTGTGCTTTCCAAGCTGTCACTGTAAGCCAGGCGCTTTTAAAAGAAAATCCTCACTTTCCATCTAACATGAATTTGATAATCAAATACTTTTTTGTTCCACTGCTAAGCTGTGGTATCCATAAAACACATGGCAGGGAATAGATACCCAAGAGTTCTCAGAATAAACCTGAGTGATTTGGGTAATCAGCTCCTAATGAGCCTCCTTTGGTCCCTTGGCTAAGAGCTTGGTAACTAAGAAATTCCTCATTTTATTCTCTTGAGCCCCCTGCCCTTGTTCCAGCTGGGCCCTATAAACTGTGTTTTCTCTCTCAGGTGGCTGGGGAACGATATGTCTACAAATTTGTCTGTGACCCAGATGCCCTTTTCTCCATGGCTTTCCCGGACAATCAGCGTCCATTCCTGAAGGCAGAGTCTGAGTGCCACCTCAACGAGGAGGACACCCTGCCCCTGACCCACTTCGAAGACAACCCTGCTTACCTCCTAGACATGGATCGCTGCAGCAGCCTCCCCTATGCTGAAGGCTTTGCGTACTAAGTTTCTGAGCGGCTGAGTGGCCAAACCCTAGAGCTAGCAGTTCCCATTCAGGCAAATGAGGGCAGTGGTTTGTTTGTGTTTTTGGCTGTTCCTAACGCTTGCCCTTCAAGTATTATCCAGAGAACCTAAGCTGTCTCTGGATTGGCACCCTTAAAGACAGACCCGTTGGCTGGGGAGTGGGAACAGGGAGGGGCAGAAAACCACCAAAAGGCTGGTGCCTCAACTCTTGACTCTGATGGGGTTTCTGGGAAGAGATCAAAATGGAGCCTCCTTAACCATGGACAATATATGCAAAGCAATACCTTGTTCAGGTTAGTACCCCCAAAACGGGACAGAGTGTGTGACAATCTGCATTGATCACGGACTACTAAATGCCTTTACACAGAAGGGCTCTGATTTGCACAATTTATTGAAAAAGAAGTCACAAACCCATAGAAAAGTAGGTAGGCTAAGCTGGGGAGGCTCACACCGTTAAGGGTTAAAAATAGATCTAGAAATTTGGAGAGCTTGTCCAGCTAAATCTGAAATGTCTCTCCTTGGTCTGGCAAAGGGGGGAGGGGCAGTCAGAACAGCTGTTACCCACTCCATAGTTCTCAAGTCATAAACCATTGCTATCCTTGGGAACCTTCTGGCCATGTGGCCACCAAGCAGAGCGAGCCCCTTTCTCTTCCTCATCACATGGCTGTGTGTGGATGGCTTTCATTTCAGGAGAAGGGCGATTAACACTTTTGACAGTATTTTGTTTTGCCTTGATTTGGGGGATTGTTTTGTTTTGGTGGTTGTTTTGGAAAAACAGTTTATAAACTGATTTTTGTAGTTTTGGTATTTAAAGCAAAAAAAAAACAAAAAACAAAAAAAAACAAACCTTTTGGTAACTGTGCACTGTGTCCTTCAGCCAGGGCCGTGCCGACTTACAAAGACGCTGCAGCTTGAGAGGGGCTTTGCTGGGGGCTGCCCCTTAGCCATGTAAAAGCCCGCTTTGTTGCCTGCTTTGTGCTTTCTGCACCAGACAACTTGACGAAACATTTGCACCTGAGTTGTAAATTTTTGAAGTGTGCAGGGCAGCCTGGACACAAGCTTAGATCCTCTGTGTATAGTTCCCCATGTTCACTAACATGCCCTCTCTGGAAAGCATATGTACATAACACATGTCATGTCCATTGGAAACCCGGTCACCTGGTGGGAACCCTAGGGATTCTTCCCTGGGCATGACTGATGACAATTTCCATTGCATCAGTTTGTTTTCTTTTCCTTTTTCTTTAAATCTTGGACTTCAAACCCTGCCTATGATTCAATAGGGTTTGAGACTTACGTGTGACACTGACAGGTAAAACAGTACTAGCATTCTAGCTTCCTGCCACTTTTTTTTTTTTAAAGTTTATTCTGATTGCTGTATTATATTGGGAAAGTTTTAAACAACCAAGCTAAAGCTACATGAAAGTTGAGCTCAAAGTAGAGGAAGAGTTACCAGAAAGTGGTAGTAGTACCTTGCTGCCTGCTCTGTTGGTAGAAATCTATGCTCCCCACCACACTTAGCACATTAAGAATGACTGTGCTGTTCCTCGGATGTGAAGGGAGGCAGTGCTGACTCCATGAATGTACGACACAGGCTTTGAATGGCTTTTCTATTGGGGGGGCACACCACAGTCTCAAACTGTCCCCCTTATGACTGACAGCTCGTTTGTAAAAAGGTTCACAGGGATAAGGGGTGCACTTTATAGCTATGGGAACGTAAGATTCTCCTCTATTGGAAGCTAATTAACCCACAAAGGTGGTGGACCTATAGCTTGGGCCTTAATTAGCATTCTTCTCTAATCAAAGGACTCTTTCTAAACCATATTTATAGCTTTCTAACCTACACATAGTCTATACATAGATGCATATTTTACCCCCAGCTAGCTAGAGATTTATTTGTTGTAAATGCTGTATAGATTTGTCTTTCTTTACTTATCCTGGTTTGGGATTTTTTCTTTTTGGATGGATTTATGCTATCTTAGCAAGTATGAAAATAATCCTCTGTAGCCTGAGCTCCCCTCCCCTGCTGTGACTTGCCGCCTGTGCTGTCACTCACGGGACCTAGGACGGCAGCATCACCCTTGCATTCCCATTGGACTCATGCACCTCTCGAATGGTTTGTTTTTTTGTTTTTTTGTTTTTCAGGGGTTTGGGGTTTTGTTTTGTTTTTTCTGTTTGTTTGTTGGCTTCTTTTCCAGAGTGTGGAAAGTCTACAGTGCAGAAAGGCTTTAATCTGCCAGTTGATCTGAAATACTTTCCCCTGTGCAGGGCTGTGTGCATCCTGCCAAGCTGCGTTATATTCTGTACTGTGTACAATAAAGAAGTTTGCTTTTCGTTTACCCAGTGCCTGAAACGTGCCTCTTTCTTACCCACAGTGGTCCACCCCCTTCCCCACCCCACCTCCTCAGTGATTTAGCCTTACCAATGCACTGTGGAGTTGAGTAGTTTATCTGGAAATAGAAGTATTTGCTGCTCTTAAACCTAAAATTTTCACTGAAATTTTGGCTAAAAATTAGATTGGGGAGATACAAAGATCCTCTTCCCAACCAGTGGTGAGTTGAGATCACCTCATCTCCCTAAGCCCACCTAGCACCAACTCTTAATAATTACTTTTTAAAGCATAGCTCATGTTTGGGATGTGTGGAAAGATTACTAACCAGGCTAGGACTTTTTAGTCCCAGAATTATTCTAGCTCAGCCCCTTAGATGGATACTTTGAAAAACAGTAAGCACTTAAAAGACCATTCATGCCCCAATTTTTCCCCAACAGGTTTTGTCCTTGACAAGTAAAAATTTTACTAATGGCTGGTCCCTTAAAAAAAATAATTTAGGGAGGTTTGGCCTCTTTTTCTTTTTCTGGCCATGCAGTAATAACCTGTCCTCCCACTGTGTCTCTTTCTTGCGGGTATCATCACTTGGGAAAGGTGTGCAAGGAAATCAAGTTGAAAGGGGTGTGCGCAGCATTTTAGTGTTCTTATTTCCTCCTTTTCTGCAGCTTTGATTTGGACTTTTCAAGACTCCTATTACAGTAGAGAAACAAAGGAGAACCTTTTTTCAAACCGAGAACAGAAGGCTTTCTGTAACTTTATCTACTCTGCCTTTCACTGTTTTACAAGCCTTCTAAGTGTAGAAACACCCTAGACGGAATCGGTGTGCAGCCGCTTGAATTGGAGCTTGTGAGGACCGAGTGTGTGCCACAGAAACCCCATTAGCTCCGACAGATTAAGAAAAGCTGCTTGGGGAGAAGTGGCAGGGGAGTGCAGGGAAAAGCCGTCTCTGCTCAGCTTCAACAGCGATAAGCCTTTGACAATCAGCTCCCCGTTATTCACTGGCTCATTATCCAGCCTGGGCCCAGTCCCAGATCGTTAACCTAACC